ATTTAACAACCAGCCTATTAAGATATGCCAAATAAGAATGATAATATTAATCATCTTAAATGATTTATATATATATATACCTACACATATGTTATTTAATGTATATATGTGTTTAACACCTTCTTTAATAATCCTTGATTATTTAAAATCAATATACATACATACATACATACATATATATATATATATATATATATTCATCCTTCCATACAATTCATAGACAAATTAAACTATATATACCCATATATAAATAATTATATATATATATATATATATATATATATATATATATATATATATATATATACACACTTCCTTCCATAACAAATTATTAATTTATTATATTTACACAAATTAGTGCAACTAAATATGTCAGAAATAGTTTCCTTTAAATACTCCATATTGGTTTAAATAGTTTTCCGACACTTTCTCACTAAAACATAAATATCTCCTAGTAGGATGGGAATCTGATAATGAAATTGGTACCATTGGAAAGAAGACGAAAAATCCTTGAATTTGAGCTCAAGAATGACCCAATTTCGATTTAAAATGACTAAGTTATGACCGTTTTAATTTCTAGTGTCGAATTAGGCCAACATAGTTTCCCACGCGCGCCCACGTGCTTACTATGCACTTGCACGCGCTGAATTCAAGCCTCCTTGTGTGCTGGTATTGGCTAAGCTCTTTCAGCTACCGTGAGCTCACCACACTGAATCCATCACTTCCTTTATGCTGCATCCAATGGTCATAAATGAGTGCGCAAATGAACACGCTCACACTAGATTATTTTCTATTAACTATAATAGATCTAAGGTCCAGATCAGCGAGTGCACCATCTTCTCATGGTCTGCAATACACCAAATAATCCCATAGTTGACCAGACCACTTCTATGGTCCAGATACACATGCGCACCAAAGTTTTATGCGCCGCGATGCACCATATCAATTCATATAAGTTTAATTAATCAAATGGCTCTAATTGGCGTATACACCCTATTATCCTACACCGCACCGCACTGGATCAATTCTTTATTGTGCCGCCGCTCCACATGCGCCAGTTACCTAGTGTGTGTGTATATATATATATATATATATATATATATATATAATTATTTTCCTAACAAATAATAGGAAAATAAATCCTAATAAATTCCTAAAAATATCAGAAAAATTCCAGAAAATTACAGAACAATTCTAGAAAATAAAGAAACCATAATTAACTCTCTTGGGTCACAAATCCACCTATAGATTGATTTTAAAATATACATAACACCTATATATATCAATTAAAATCCAATAATCTAAAAAATCAAATATAATAGTTTATACTTTTTAATTATTCCGATCTAACCATAATTTTTAAACAAATAAATTTAATTAAAGCCTTGATACTCAAGGTGAAATCCTTATGAGTTCTAAGAGGAAAGTTAGAGAAAACTCGCCTGAAGGTTTCGAAACGAAACCGACGCTTTAAGCTTTAATTATCTCTTCCAATTCCGACGTCCTCCTTTTCAGATCCGACCTCCTCCTTGTCAGCCCTTCTTCTTCCTCTCTCTCTGTCTGTTTTATTTTTCTAACGTGTAAAACCTTTAACCCTAAAGCCTTATGTGTATTTTTATACAACTTAAATTCCAAATCCTATTCCAACTAGTATTATGAATTAAAATAATAATCTTTAAATAATTTATATCTATAAACATATATATATATATATAAATATATATTCCTTCCATAATTAACTCATTAGTTAATTAAATCATATATACTTATAAATATCAATAAATATATATCTATATATATATATCTTTCCATAACAATTATTAATTAATTATATTTATATATAATTATATATATATATATATATATAAATATAATTGATACAAAAGTGATCATTTAAATAATTAAATAACCACGGACCTTCATTAATTAACCCAATAAGGTTTCATACAAGCCCAAGACCACATCTTTTGGTCCAACTTTCCTTAAGCCCAATCCAATTAATTTAAATAAATAAGATAATTAATTAAATACAGAAATTAAAATAACTAATTACATGAAGCACATAAACAAACAAGAATTTACAACTAAGTCATATAATACCAATAAAATCAACACACCAATAATTCAATCAATAATCAACCACACAAACAATCAATCATCATACATAATCACGAAATATAACTTAATTAAAATAAGATAATTAATCTAGCACTCAATAAAATAAAATAAATCATTGAAAAATAAAATAAAATAATTAATCCTAATTAATAAATCTTTTAAAATTATCGGGGTATTACATTCTTCCCCCCTAACAAACGGAATTCCGTCCTCGGAATTCACAAATCCATGAAATAAAAACTTTGATTATTTAATTTCAAATTTCATTATTCCTTTTATCCGTGTGGAAATTAACCTATCCACACAAATGGTATCAGAGCCTGACCCAGCCGGAAGTGTGCCGACGGGGACGTCAGGCCTCCAAGGGGGGTGGATTGTGATGACCCTGTGGGCGGGTGTGCCGTGGGCGGGTGCGAGAGACACTGTCAGGCTACCACACTGGCGAGCTACGGGTGCACAGTCCCACATCGCCTGGGTAGAGGAAAGGTGAAGTACTTATATGTAAGTATGTCACCTCCAATTGGTATGAGGCCTTTTGGGGTGAAGCTCAAGAGCAAAACCGTGCGGGCTCAGGCCCAAAGCGGACAATATCATACCATGTGGTGGAGTGGGTCGTTACAATCGCCACTGAAACGTGATAGCAAGAATTTAATCAATTGCCATCAGCCAAGTAATGACAAGAATTTAATCAATTGTCACTACGATTCCAAGGCAAGAATTTAATCAATTGCCATTGAATTGAAAGCCTAACTAAAATTGCGTAATTAAAATTGGCATAATTGAAATTGAAAGAAAGTAAATAGCTGAATTGAAATAGTTGACGAGGATCTAATCAATTGCCATTAAATTGAAATAAAGAAATTGATAGGAAAATGACGTAGAGTCAATTGAAAACATTTTTAGATGAAATGCATGTTTTGTGGTGGTGCTGGACAAATTGGAATGGAATATAATACTTCTATTTATAGAAGTTCTATCTCAACTTATTTTCCTAAGTTATTGCTAGAAAATCTCTCCTTCTTTGATTCTTTCTCTTCACAATTTGAACTCAGTCAAATCCTATTGTTATTCCGCTTCCTTTCTTGTTTTGTTTCAGTAGGAAATCTCTGTAAAAACAACCTTCCTCGATTTAATCATATGTAAGTTGCCGAGATATTGCTAAAACGTTGCTAGAAAGTTGCTGAAAAGTTGCTAATTTTTAGCAACTCCCCTCCTTAAGTTTAGCAGCCCGTTTCATTCCCTTAAATGGCCTAATGGCCATTTGTAACTTTTGAACTTATACGGCTATTCCTTTTTTGTTGAAATTCCTACTTCATTGGGATTTAGTTATTTATTGTAACTAAATCTCTTAAGTCTTCTCTTTTGAATTGATGACATATTTGAATTGATTCAAATCTCTATAAATATATTTAGCAACAACCTTATCAACAAAGTGGCTGAAATATATTTGCCTAGATTTTCTCCTTTTGTCTCTCTATTGGCCGACTTCCCTTAAGACATAATAAACACTTGTCAATTTCTCGTTGGTCCACGTCATCGCTGAGATGGCTGCCAGTTTTTGGTGCCAACAATAACTTAACATGATAGCATCGAGAGTCAATGAACAACCTTACTCTCTCGACTGTAATTAATCTTGTCAACATATTTCCACCTTTCAGACATTAGTCAGTGAAAGAGGATAATTTCTATATAACTTGGCTGATGAGAGTCTCAAGAGCTAATGTGCACTCTTACTCTCCAGACTGCAGTCAACATATTTCTACCTTCCAGACACCAGATTTCTATGTAACTTGGTTGATGATAGCGCCAAGAGCCAACGCACACTCTTACTCCTTGACTGTAGTCAACCTTGCCAACATATTTCCCATCTTTCATACACTAGTCGATAAAAGATAATAATTTCTATATAACTTGGCTGATGATATATAACGTCAAAAGCCAACGTGCACTCTTACTCTCCAGACTATAGTCAACATATTACCATCTTTCAGACACCAGATTTCGATGAAACTTAGTTGTCAAGAGCCAACGTACACTCTTACTTTCCAGATTGTAGTCAACCTTGTCAACATATTTCCACCTTCCCGACACCGGTCGGTGAAAGGGAATACTTTCTATGTAACTTGGCTGATGATAGTGTCAAGAGCCAACGTGCACTCTTACTCTCCAGATTGTAGTCAACATATTTCCACCTTCTTGACGCTGGTCGGTGAAAGGGAATAATTTTTATGTAACTTGGCTGATGATAGCGTCTAAGAGCCAATGTACACTTTTACTCTCTAGACTTTAGTTAACCTTATTAATATATTCCCACCTTTCAGACACCAGTTGGTGAAAGAGAATTTCTATGTAACTTGGCTGATGATAGCGCCAAGAGCCAACATACACTCTTACTCTCCAGACTTTAGTCAACCCTGTCAACATATTCCCCGATACCAATCGATGAAAGAAAATTACTAAATAGCTTCGCTAATGATAGCGTTAAGAGCCAACGTACACTCTTACTCTCTACACTTTAGTCAACCTTGTCAACATACCAACATACACCACTCTTACTCTTCAGACTTTAGTCAACCTTGTCAATATATTCCCACATTCCAGACCACCCGTCGTTGAAAGAGAATACTTTCGTAGAAAAACAAAAAAAAAACATCTCTTCCCATTCAATACTTCTATTACTATCATTCAAATAGGAGTTGTACAAGACTATCAGTGTGTATTGTTTACAAATGACACCTCTTCTTATGTAAAAAATTTATTCCGATTCAATAATTAGGATATTTACAAAACTACAATAAGGATAATTGTAAGATCAATGCAATGCTAATAATTGTGTATGAATCATACCACATCCCAAGACATAAACAAACTGAAACTGAACATGGAGTATAAACAAAAAATTGCATTAATTTATTAAATCAAATTCATGGACTTAATGTTGATCAAATGTAGCAAAGTTAAAAGTTTAGTGAATTGTAGGTAAAAATCATCATTATTGTCCAACCGTGTTCCGAATTTCCCAAATACAACACACAATCTACCTACCATGTTAGATTGAATTGTAGATTCATCTGCTGGTTCAGCCACTCTAGCTAGTTCATTACCAATCTCTGCAACTGTTCTGCATCTTGTTTGGTTGCAAAGGTTGCAGTGTCGAGTCTATTAGCCGTCTTTAATTCTAATTCCGTAAGTGATAGCCTGCAGGTTTTTGGATTAGTACATTGTCAGAATAACCTCAAAATTGCTGAAGAAAGAAATGTTTGATGCACTGAGTTTTCACAAATTTATTCTAGAGGTTTTTGAAATGGATATAATGAAGCACTGAAAAGGTATAAGCAATTTGAAATACTCACTTTTTTGCTGCTCTCTCTTCATATAACAAACTATTCTCTGGTCTAAATGTTTTGTTTAAAATAATTTGTATGATTTTTAGTATTCCATTAACATATGTTTGAATTCCGAGAAAATGGAAGAAAAAAACCAAGAATACTATGACATTAAAAACAACCGTTCCATCACCATATAGTTGTTATCCAAATTTTTTGTTTATTTTCATTGTTACTAAGCTTCATAAACACTCTACGACGATTCTTTCTACATGAATCTTCAAGAAAATTGGAACTGAGTCACTGATTAGCCCTGCTATTGATGATCAGTTCCAAAACTAATATATTAATCACATTGCTTTATGCTGTAAGATTTAATACCCTTCTAATTTGCAGCATGAAATGCTTTGACTCTGTGTCAGTGACAGAAATAAGTGAACTATGGGGTAATTTCCCATGTATCAAGTATATAAAATTAGGCGTCGATGATGATACATTATAAATTGGAGTTTTACCATAATATGAGAATGCCCGACTTATCTTCTTGATGAAAATGTCATCATTGCCTGGATTTCTTCTAGTGTTCTCCCCTTAGTCTCTGGTACAAGCTTTGCGACGAACACAACAGTTATACAAGAAATGCTTGAAAATATGAAGAATGTTCCTGAAAATGAAGAGTAGCCGAGCAGTTCATTTTTGAAGTAAAATGTCAATAGTGAGAGGGTGATGCATGAGGAATGAGGCATCACCTGCTGAGCTCCAATCCAGTAAGAAGTTGAATATGTATGAAACAAGCCAAGAAACAAACCAGTTGACCAAAGACACGAGACTTCCAGCCAAACCTTTCATGTTTATAGGAAATATCTGAAATAGGGAGCATCATTCAATGTAAGCTTCACAAGTCTTCTTAAGTTAGTCCTGGTTTTAAAATTCCGATTGATAAATTTTTTGAGTATGAGTAACTTACCTCTGACATAATGAGCCATGGTATTCCTGCCATCCCCAACCCGAATGATCCATTATACACCTGAAATGTAAAAGAAAATAGATAGAAATAGAACACTTGCGTTTCTTTTACACTTTTTCCTCTCTCTCTCTTATAGCAGTAGGAGTGTGAGTGACTCTAGTCACGAACAGAGTTCTTGCTGTTATATTCATTCTTCTTTGAGGTAAATGGTTTATATGACATAAAACAATTTCTTCCGGTTAAATTATGTTACCAGTATTCCAACAAGCACCAAAATTGGAGTGACTTCATTCCACAGTTGAAAATCCTGCTCATGGTAAAGCTTTATTGTTCAGTAGATGACTTAATTTAGAAAGTTTCACAAACATTTTAGGATATTCCATTTGATGGTAGGCATCTGGATTTGATACGACCTGCAAGAGGAATGCCAACCCTGCTAAAAAACAACCCAAGCATGTTCCTGCTGCTGATATCTACAAAGCGTTACTAAAATTTAGTACACGCCTTTTGTTTGACACAAAATGAGATTAAAGAATAGACTTATATCCTTTCGTACCATCAGAAGTGGTCTTCTGCCAGATTTATCCATTAAAAATACACCTAACACGGTCGTGGGAATCTGCGGAAGTATATCTACAATGTGTTAGATCAAGAAGAAACCAAAATTGGACTTTTAGGTCTAGTATTAAGAACCTGCACAACAGCCATTGCTATGGTCCCAATTTTGGCCGAGAAACCTGTCATAAACCAGAGATTCATATCAATACTTAGACCTCTTGTATTATATGCAGAATTATCAATGATTTGTAATTTACCAGCCAAGGTAAATATGGAACTCGCGTAAAAGGCGATCCCATTAGAACCACCGAATTGTTGCAACATCATCATCCCAACTCCAACCTATTAAAAAAATAAATTTGTTCGGCTCGTATGTCAGAGTCAAGAACAACCACATAACACAAGTACCATTTATTTGGAAGGCTCACAATCAGAGAATGAGCATATTTCCACTGGAACAGGTCTAGAATTTTAGCTTCAGGGAGCTGTTTAAGGGCTTCTGTGTAATCCTGTCAAACAGAAGAAAGCCAATATATCTTGTTTCCATGACAAAATCAATTTTAAAAAACAAGAAGAGCAGTGATGAGACTCAAAAAATTTAAAATTTTTTTCACTCTGGTTGAAAATTCAGAATTCCTTAGCAAAGAAATAGAAAGTTACTATAATCTCAGCTGCTTCAGGAGAAATATCGTCGCCCCTGAGGCGTTGTAAAGCAGCTTCACAGTCTTTTTGTCGACCAATTTTAGCCTATAGAAAATTTGCAAGAGATCATTCTACAATCTCATCATAGCCTGTTTTGATATCCCAAGTGTAGCAGAAAAAAAAATTCTCAGTTTTAACACATGTTAAGCTTGTTTATAACATGGTTAAGGGCATTTGGTTCAACAGAACAATAAGAAGAGCAGCTACTACTCATTGTGTTACAAATTCAATCCAAAAGCACCATGGAAACATCATTTTCTGTCATAATCTCACGCACCAACCATCTCGGAGATTCTGGAATGAAGAATAGACCTAAAAGCTGTACTAGACACGGAATAATTCCTGCAAAAGAAATCAAATTGAAGCTTTATCATATAGAAGTAGAACCCTCCTTTGAATTAATAAATACCATATTGTAATGAACTAAACATACCTATTAGAGCCAATATGCGCCAGCTGACAACAGTTCCAACAAAAAATGTAATTGCTGAACCGAGTGTTATCATGACCTGCAGAGTCTAGTATTTAGTTTCAAAACGACAAGCTTATTTTCTTAGTCCATATTCACCATAATAAAATTGAGATACATATAGGCGTATGAGAAAAAAAAAAAAAAAAAAAAAAAAAATTGCAATTCCTACTTTTTCAAAGCTTATTAAGTTGTTTTGCTTTACCTGATGCACTGTTGCAAAACCTCCTCTAAGATTTTTTGGTGTTATTTCTGCTATATAGACAGGTACCTGTTTGGCAATGCAACATTTTTATCCATCACATAGAATGAGTATAATAAAATATAAATTGCAATTGTACATCCCTTGCTTGAATTACCACATAAGAAAGAAGACCAATCCCACATCCAATCGACAGCCTTCCAAGGTCGAGCAACCAAGCAACCTATCAACAAACATTACACCAATATAACAAATCAAGCATTGGGGGAAATAAAGAAAAAAAGAAAAAAGAAAAAGGCATTTCATAATATTCAAAGAGAGGCGATTTCTGATGACTATGCATGCCATTAAGGCCCTATAATAATCTAAAACAATACCTTTTGAGTTAGTTCTAAAGCAAACAATGACTTCTAAAAGAATACAGTGGTTCCTAATGATATATTTCAGACAAACACCATACTAGCATGCAAAAAGAAAGGCCATATAAACTATATAACACAACAAATGTATGCATAAAAGTTTAAATTGAAATCATTTTTCCTGAAGTTGCTTCCTAAACATTCTAAGGCTCTATTTGAATATCAAGAAGGTGTATATAAAGGACATTTTTTTCGCTTATTCTCAATCAATTAGAAAATTGGTAATCAAAGAAACGTAAAGATGCTATAGAAGGAACACAGAAACACCTCGGAGAGTAATATTGCAAACCATCCCATAATGCAGAATATTTCTGAAATCCCCATTGTCTGCCATCAGGAGTAGCCAAAACTGAGAAGGATAGAAGAGTTGACAACTACTTGCATAAGTCAGAAAATAGAAAAAGAAAACGTACACCTCGTCGACCAATGTGATCCGCTATCTTTCCACTTGTCACTGCACCTAACATTGCTCCAATTGTCAATATGGAGCCGAAAACCGAGTACTGCACAAATGAGATTTAGGAAAACAGAAATGATAAATTCAAGAGAGATGGATAAAACAACATAAGTAAACTGGTGAGAAAAATTAAAACAAGGAATCAATCTGTTACACTTTAACCAGCTTAAATTTCTTAATACATATAACAGCAACAAGTTAACTCTCTATCAACTGTGTCAAGTTCAACAGCTTAAGCTCATACACATAGGATTAATTTATTTTGAAATATAAATGAGTCCAGTTAAATGCCATCAGCATTTCTTTGAGTTCATTTCTGAATTTCACTTTAGAGTAATAGTAACATCAGAAGCATAGATATATATATATATATATATATATATATATATATATATATATATATTTCTGTGTTCATAAACAAACCTTTCGAAAAACACTAGAGATGTTACATGTTTTGAAAATTGCAATTACTACTTACCTCTGCCACAGAGAGACCGAGGTCATCCATGATACCAGACTCAGCTGGTGATGAATATCCGATCTGCGATTCAATCATACTCCATTAGACTTAAACTAATGGTGCTTGTAGCAGACATAAAGCAGGTCTAATGGCACTTACAGCAGCCCCAAATGCATAAGAACCGCAGACTGCGATGAAGGTGCTAAGGACAACCATAGCTGTGGCAGAGGAGTCCTTTCGCGGCCCATCACCATTGACAAGCAGAGGTCTAGCTATTTGCCTGTCTTCAGAGATTGTTCTCTCCATATCTTTAACTTTCTGGGAAAATTGAATAAAGCAAGAAGAAGAAAGAGCTAATAGGCAACAAAGTCATGTTTCCTCAAGTGCCACATTGCATGAAAGATATTTGAATTATATGCAGACTGAACTTTCTGAACTTAACTGGTTAATCAAGTGGCATAAAAAAGGAACCATTGACATTTGAAATGTATTAAAATGCTTTTTAAATTAATGGGGCTTAAATCTTTCATTAAGGGTGATTAGAATTTTTCTTTGATAATTCATTATGTTGTGACTCATGACTCTTACTCATGAAATTAAGGCTGGATCAATTGTATAATAACTCTAAACCATATTTTTGGCAATATGCATAGATTGGGGCTATTCAAGCTACTCATCAAATTAAGACTGGAAGCTAGGAGGCTTAACCTGAACAATCTGAGTCTAAACCAAAAATTTGTAGGGTTCGGACAAATTTTTTCAAAATGAGATGAATTTTGGCAACAAAAAGTTCAAACTTATCTTTTTTTCTTCATTTGAAATTGACCATGAATACAGGTATTGAGATAATCCAATTCAACATCAACACAACCACACATATAGTACAGTACAATAAAATAATAATATAGTGTAATTTATGTTGATGATTTTGATCTAATCTAAAGCCAATTAACCTAAGGGTTGTAATTCCTAAAGTGGAATGTTGAGGGTTCAAGTCACTTCGGAGCAAATAATGGGTGAGTTTATTATTTGTTGGGAAAAAAAAGAAAAAAAAGAAAAAGAAGAAGAAGCAATTTAACTCGATCACTGAAGAGAGGGCGAAAGCAAAATGATTGGTAGTATTGGTATTTGGCTGGTAGGTACCAAATTTTGCATTGACTTGCTGGTGAAATAGTACTCCTATTACCTATATTTCTCAGGTCTCAATAATCACTGGAACATAATTTTTTAATTGTAGTTTGCCCACCTATTGTTCAAATCAGACCATACTACTGCTTCTAAGGCTCTAACTAACTATGTCAAAACAGATCTATTCTTCTTAGCCCATCAACCAACTCTCTCTCTCTCTCTCTCTCTCTCTCTCTCACACACACACACACACACACACACCCACACACACGGCAACATAGCAAGTTGGGATGGCCTGTGAGTTGAGTATTGAGAAGGCTTATGATGATGTGAATAGAAATTGTTAAAATTGAGTCAGAAATTTATATACAAAATTCCATTTGGGCTTCCAGATTGGAGGGCCTAATAGACAAAATGTTTAGCCCATTTCTTAATTTCTGATATAATATCCAATGAAAATTCAATTTATATTCCAATAGCTAGCCCATGACATAGCAATGGACATAGCACATTCATACCTAAATCCCACTGTTTATAATTCCAATTCATATGCCCAAATAACTTATTCTGCAATTTGGGGACTTTGGTACATCTCATGCAACAGATCAGTAAAGTACAAAACATGTTTTAAATATGAATCACATTTATTATACAAATAAAATTATTTTACATCAAGGGAAAGAAAAAAAAAAGAAAAGAAGAAAGATTAGACTTGATTTTTAGGGCATAACAACAATCATTAAATCTCACTAAATTTTGATTGTGAGGATGAATTGGGTTTCTTATTTGAGATGTATCATAGATTCTTGTATTTCTTCGAGTGTTCGTCCCTTGGTTTCTGGCACCATCTTGTAAACAAATAGAACAATTAAAGCACACATGCTTCCAAATATGAAGAATACTCCTGAAATAGTATAGTCTTATTAGTAGCCTCGCAAGAATAAGATGTCACAAACAAGCACGTGCACGTACACACACACACACACACACACACACACACACACAGAGGAGAGAGTCATCACCTGCTGAACTCCAATCAAATAAGAAGTTAAAAGCATAAGAAACAACCCAAGAACTGAGCCAGTTGACCGAAGTCACTAGGCTTCCAGCTGAACCTTTTATGTTTATAGGAAATATCTGAAATGAACAAACATCATTTCAGTATAAGCTAATGTGTAGACCTTCTCTGTCCATTCCATAAAAGGAAAAGAGAGTTCAGGCTGTATAGATAGATGACCTACCTCTGACATTATAACCCATGGTGTATTACCCATGCCCATTGCAAAACATCCAAAATATATCTGGTTGAAGATTCAAATAATTAAAATTTATATACACAGGCACACGCACAGACAGACGTTGCAATGTCTCTAACTAATATTTGACTACAAAAAAAAGAAAAAGAAATAGAAGAATTAATGTGAAATGCATGCTAGTGAATCTGGCTAGAGGTGTATAAACTCTTTTAAGTACACAGCCTCACATGAATTGAATGAGAGAAGAGGTGAAACATTAATGTGTATTTCAATTGGAATTATTTTCTGTACATTTCGAGAGTATTAAGGGTGAATCGTAGTTCAATTAAGTAAGATTTACCAGTATGCCAATCAACAACAATGTGGAAGTGAACTCCTCCTCCTGTTGATGAAGATCCTGTTCACGGTAAACTACTACATTAGCAAGTAAGAAAGAAGTATAGAGGTATCAGATTTTTCTTTTTTTTTTTGAAGAACCTGCAAAAGGAGTGCCAATCCTGCAATGAAGCTTCCGAAGCATGCCCCAGCCGCAGCTACCTGCAAAGACTACTAGTATTGGCTCATTTATCGACTACATGAAAGAGCAAAAAGAACACTTTCACATTCAAACCATCATAAGGAATCGTCGTCCAAATGTATCCATCAAGAATACACTCGAAGCAGAAGCTGGAATCTGCAAAATAATATCTACATTAAGAGAAGCGTAAAAAAAAAGTCATATTTGAATTCCAACCGTAAGATTAAGAGAACCTGAATAATAGCCATTGCCGTAGTTCCAACAGTAACTGAGCTACCTGAACAAGAGATAAATTCTGATTTTTAGCTAGCCTTCTCAATTTATTTACTTCATACTCAGCCAGATAAAACATTAATTACTTTCATAAGTTATTATAAGGCCTCTTAACTTACCAGTAGCTTTGAAAATCGAACTTGCGTAAAATGAAACCCCACTGGTACCAGCAAGTTGTACCAGTAACATAAGCCCGACCCCGACCTAGTGCAATTTTTATTTTCGTTACTAGAAAGGTCAGGGAAGTTGTGAAAATGGTAAAATGTTACATTTATCATTAACTTAAATATTACAGTTAATGCATGAGCATATCTCCAGTCGAACATGTCTAAGAACTTGGATTCAGAGAGACTTTGAAGCATTTCCGTGTAATCCTGTAAAACAAGAAGAAAATATTTTGTTGCTTGTGGTTTTTGCTACACCAAAAAACAAAATAAAAAAAAACAAATAAATAAATAAGTTTTTTCCTGCTCGAAAGTTACTTTTTGTTAACGAGTGAAGTTGAAACATTACTCTGATCTCAGTCATTTCTTCAGAAATATTGGCATTTTTTCCCCTTAGGCGTCGTAAAGAAGCTTCTAACTGTTTTTCTCGACCAACTTTTGCCTGTAAATGGTTTCACTCATCAAATGAGTATTCTAGAAAAAAAAAATCCGCATTAGCTCAAAAAAAAAAAAAAAAACACAAATCTATGTAAATTTGTGTTTGTAACTTTGTCTTCTGGTTTCACATATTAGCATGAGAACAAAAAGAAAAACAAACAGAAAAAGCATTATAGTGAAGAACTGAAGATAATTTTAAATTAGATCTCCCACCAATAACTACATTCACAGCACTTTTGAAGATGAACCATTTAAAACCTAAGGGTATAACATTTGAGAACAAAAAAACAGATTACCAATTTTCTGACTTCCTACTTTGGACTGAGAATACTCCATGGTGAACTAACCAAATAACAAGTTTAGATAAAATTTTCAATCAAACTCACCAACCATCTTGGAGACTCTGGTATGAAGAATAGGCCTACAACTTGTAGCACACATGGTATAGTTCCTGGAACGTTATGAAGCGAAATCTGGTATTAGACGACTTTGGACTCATAAAGAGTAGAAGAGTGAAGCAAGTTACCGATGAGAGCCAATGTGCGCCAATTAATGAGGTTCCCAATGAAAAACACTAGTGATAAGCCACAGCACGTCATCAACTGTAGAGTCACAAATATATATATGCACATAAAAAATTAGTTGATTCTGTTAACAACCATCTATTCTAAAAGCTTAAGCTCTTAGAGAGGGTACAACTTTAACATTTATATCCTCTAATAGTGACGGTGAGAATTGAACTTGAGACGGTTTGACTTTGATACCATGTTAAAAACCATCTACTCTAAAAGTTTGAGCTATTAGAGTGGGTGAACATTTATATCCCCTAACTGATTTTCTCTAATCCAGATCTATGATGGTAATGATTTACCTGACTAGCTGCTGTACATCCTCCTCGAATATTCTTGGGTGTGATTTCTGCTGTGTATACAGGGGCCTGTTTGGCAATTGCAATGTAGGTCTCATTGAACATTAAAGACAAAAATAATATCTCAAATGCAAACTTTGCTGCAATTACCACATAACAAAGAAGGCCAATTCCAAACCCTAGCGACAGCCTTCCAAAGTCAAGCAACAGAGCACCCTTCAAAAAGCACCAAACATTTAGTACTAACCATTCCCCAACAATTAAAAAAAATAAAAAATAAAAAACATTAAAAAAAAAAGAAAAAAAAAAAGAAGAAGAAGAAGAAGAAGGAAAGGATTCTGTTAACTTGATTTAGATTGTGATTCCTTTTTGTCCCCCCCTTTTTTCTTCTATTTACTGTTCTGGTTTTCGAGGAATAAATATGTTCCTGGAGCAACTTCGGAGAAGAACAATTTCTAATGCCAGCATAATAATCCCATATCTCTAGGGCTTTTTCTTTTTTCTTTTTTATTCAGTCTATGACCCTAGGTGAACATCCTCAATGGTACAAGTTCAGAACAAAATCATATATATATAACGTTCGATTACAGTTTTTAATATTCTTCCATTTCATTGGAACTCCTTGAAGTTTATTTCAGGAGACCTCAAATGAAGCATAAATAAATTAAATTATGGTTTTTGTAAAAGAATCAAGTATAGAAGACCTTTGCAAAATATATTGCTAGCCATCCCACGAGGAAAAATATATCCAAGAGCCACATAGTCTGCATTGCAAGATCAACCAAACTTGAGAATCATCATAGAGTTGGTAATAATGTTTTGAATATTTTGCACTAGACCTAGAGGCCACTTGTAGGGCAAGGAAAACACTTACAAATCTCCGGCCAATCAGATCAGCTACTTTGCCGCATATTATTGCACCTAACATCCCTCCAATGGTCAATACCGAACCAAAAATTGAGTACTGCACAAAGAGGAAAAGAATGAGCATCAGTGAAACATAAAAACTAACTTATACCGAATGGAAACCAGTTGACTGCACTGCTTGACTCTGTTATCTTCATAAATGACATAATATCAATCAGGCCATGTAGAAGTATCTAAATTCGGGTAATGGCTGAAATTTTAAATAATTCACTTCACATGGAACACCATAGTTCGGTATGGTTGTCACGGTGTTAAGTTTTCCAGCTGGTTTAACTTGACCTATGCAATGTACACCAGCAAATTGTTAGGGTAGGTCACACACACCTTGCTGAGGTTTGGCCAAAACTACAGACATGCTGAGAATGGATAAAATACAATGAAACGTCCTGTTAAAGTTTGTAATCCTATGAATACACGAGTAAATGCTAGGGCGTTCCCCTTAAGCAACGCATTGCATTAGCTTCCAGGTGCTTCGAAAAAATGGACAAGGCAGCACCCTAATGCAGTAAAAAAGGCAAGGTTTCCCTCGTTTTCTGGACGAGGTCTGCCCCTACAGTCTCCATCCTTGGTTAGAATATGGACTTGGAACATAGGAATCTTGACTGGTAAAGGAATGGAGTTAGTAGATACTGTGATTGGAAGGAAGATTAATATTTTATATCTACAATAAACTAAGTGGGTAGGTTCAAAGGCCAGATCGATTGAAAGATAAAAATTATATTATACCGGAAAGAACAGACAGAGGCCAAATCTCGAGGGAGGTCAGTGTCATCTACTCCAACTCAATCTCCCAAATTCACCATTCTTTCTCAAATTGTATAACTAAATAAAGCCAAGAGTTGTTACAATTTTTTTCAACTATACTCATGATGAACTGATGAGCAACAAATAACAAAAATAAAATAATGCAAAAAAATTAACTTCATATACATGACAATCTTCATGATTGGTATAAAAAAATTTCAAGTTCAAGTGTCTCTCTACATTTTCTTTCCCCTAGAAACCCTAAATATACAGTTACATTCCGGGCACCCCAATTATTTCAATGAAAAACACAGAGAGATTGTATGCACTCACCTGTGCAGTAGAAAGGCCCAGCTCTTCCATGATGCCGGCCTCGGCAGAGGACGAATATCCAGACTACAAAGGCAATCACAAAACATCAACTAGTTAGATCCATAGAAAAAATATAATTTATAATCACTACCAAATTAAGTGATCCAAGTTGAAAGATCCAATTATCTGATTACTGATTACATTGTGTTTTTTTTTTATAAAATTGCTTAATCTAGCTATTCAACCACAGAATACCCAAAAATTAGATGTTCTTATGTTGGTTTGGGAAATCAGCTCCAGCCCTTTTTTTTTTTTTTTTTTTTTTTTTTCAAATTGACTTGCCAAAAAACACATTTGACGCACTCTCTCTGCCCGAATATGAGAAAGTATCACTTTCAGTTCAATCATGTCAAGATTTGGTCGCCGACAGTTTCAATCTTGTTTGTGCACATTTTTCTAGCAAAAATTATTTGGTATTAGGTGCAATCTACACAAGTGACATGTGGTATCTATTATTTGAGGAATCTTTACTGGGAAGGGTAATTTCGTCTTTATCTACTAGTCAAGCAGGTATTTCCTTTTTTTTTTTGAATTTTTAAAAGCAAGATTGTGAGGGATTAGTAATTTCTGGTGTTGAAATACGACACGTGCCAACCAGGAGTAATAAATTTCTGGTGTTGAAAATCATGTTATTCCACATTTTAGGACTAAATAGTAATAAAAGTAGGTGCCAACCAGGAGTAATAAATTGTAATAAAAGCAGGTGGAGGCCACATTTTAGTATTATTTGTAAATGTGTGGATGTATTAAATATGGTTTTGAAATCTTCGCAATCCCAAAAAAGATTTTTAGCTACACACTCCTCTCTCAGACACAAGTGAAGACCGAAAACAAAAATTAAATCCATTATAACTGCAAAAATAATTTGATAACTCAAGAAATTAAAATACATATTAGGGGTGAACAAAAAATTCACGAATCCGATCCGATTCATACGGATCAGATTGCTAGACTCACGAATCGATGGCTAATTCAAAAAAATTAAATTCGTAATTCATAAATCGAATAATGGATTAGGCTGTCAAAAATTTGATCCGATCCCTAACCAATCTGTAATATAATATATATATATATATATATATATATATATATTATAGTAATATTACCAATATGTAATATCTATATTATAGTAATATTTTACTTTTTCGTAACTACCATATATATATGAACTCCTAACATACAATACTTTTTCTGTTTTATTTTTTTGGTAAGTATTGCATTATACAATTAGTTTTATAATATTTATTACTCAATCATTAGCAATGGACCACCGAAGATGAAACAAATATAAACTTAACCAAAGATGAAAGAACTCAAAGAACTAAAGAAGTGAGTGGATATAAAATTGGTAAAAATAGACTATTTTGAAAAATTCAGTCCGCGGATTGAATCTGATCCGATCCGTTATTTCACGGATCCAATCTGTTGCTAACGAATTGGTGGCAGATTCGAAATCTCCCAATCCGTTGCAAACGGATCGAATTATGATTGATGCCTAATTCTATCCCATCAAATCCGTGACCACCCCTAATATATACTGTATTAAGAAAATTAAATGCTTTTTAAAAGAGTTCCCTAAAGTAATAATTTATTTTATTTATTTTTATTTTTATTTTTTATATTTAACCACTTACAATTTTTTCTTTTGACATGTATAAAAAAGTACAATTTTCAATTCATTGAATAAATGTGAAGAGCTCCTTACTCTTGTCAGGTTAAACTACTTGTTAATTAATTACTAAGCTTATGTGTATGAGGTAAAAAAAAAAAATCGTGATTTAAGCAGAGCATACATATATATATATATGTATTATGTATGTATGTATGTATGTATGCATGCATATAGAAGTTGGGGTGGGGTATCTTCAGACATGTACTACTACTACTGGCATGATCGAATTTTTGAATCTGGATCTAAGCAGAGCATACATATATATATGTATTATGTATGTATGTATGTATATGTAATCAACAACCAAAAGTTTTATACATATGAATGTTATACTTACAGCACATCCATAAGCGAATAAACCACAGGCATTAACAAAATTGCTGAAGACAACAACAGCTGTGAATGGGGATGAAGCAGAAGAGTCGACCCTGTTGTTAGTGTTTGCATGAGCCTGTTCTTCAACAAGCAGTGACCTTGTTACTTCTTCTTCCATTCTCTCTCTCTCTCTCTCTCTCTCTCTCTAAAAGTGCTATATATGTGTTTCTCCAACACATGAAAAAGAGATACATATATATAAATATTGGGAAGGTGGTTGGAGTGAGAGAGACTGAGAGCTACTTGTTTGTGTGTGTGTATAGAGTACTGTCGGCGTGTTTAGTGATTGAGGTGAGAGAGCAAGTAGAGAATGGTGGCTGTTTAATCTTGTCATTTCATTACAAAACGTTTCTTTCTCGCGCTTAATGCTGTCAATTTGGACTGTGGATGGGTCCGCTCTGTTCTGCCAGATCATCCTAAATGCGGGGTGAAAATCACCTCCAGTAAACCTCCAGTAAAATAGTGTGCCATTTACTTCATTTTAAAATGAATAGTTCAGAAATAGTCACGTCACCCATGTTTGAGATGCATAGTAAAAAAATATTAGAATGCACTATTTTAAATTTATTCCAAGTTATTTTTAAAAAAATAAAAAAATTATTAAGGTGTCGCAATCAAAGCAAGTTATTAAGGTAGACAAAAAATTCGGTAAAGAGAAATATCAAATATGTACTGGCTTTCCCAATTCCGATACGAGGTGGGATAGAGAGAATTTTGAGAAAAGATTTTTATTTGTAACACCAATTTAGATAAGTGGTCCTCCATTACATATTCCATTGAAAATTTCATAATTTATATCATTATGTATATATTAAATAAGATATCGTACTAACGTTAGGCATTGAAATAAAAGAACATTCCAACGGTGGGATTTAAAACAATTTCCGACATGTCACATATATTATATAACAAGTGGAAGTTGTCATTGAAATGTCACTGTTTGGCCTTTGGCATTACTTACCCTCCCTATGTTTTCTATATGAACAAGCGATATTATTATTATTTTAGAGGGACAAAAGTTGTATCAAGAAGCCATCAGAATCAAGATCCACTTCATTTCATGGTTGCTATTGGTCCATATTGGAATAAAAATTAGTTTGAAATTGAACCGATCGGTCTACAACCGCCCTTTGAGTCTCTTTCATGACAAAGAATGAGAAAGCTCATAAGCATCAACCTGCATGTGTCAAGAGACCCCACATTACCTTTCAAAAAAAAAAAAAAAAAAAAACACAAGAGACCCCACATCATCAACAATACCATCCCAACACCACATCATCAATAATGGAATCCCCCATTCAGTTTTGTGATTCCGCGCTCTATACTTTTTGGTTCACTTTGTCTAGCACTATTTCTTACAAAAATAATTCTCATTTTGATTCTTCTTTTTGTCTTTTGGGATTTCTTTTCCATAGTTAAAAAGGGTTTTTATTACATTTAAAAAAATGTGTTGTTTGTTGACCAAAAAAAATCTTTCAATTGGAAGAAATTTCTTTAAAAAACGCATTTATTTGATGACAAAAATCGTACCCCTTAGAATTACGTTTTGTTTAAATGTTATGTGATTGTGCCATTTCTATTTGGTATAATTTAGGCTTATTATAGGAAGACCCAAACAAACAGATATTATAGCATAATATTTACATGTTCAGCCAAATTCAACCAATGTCCACGGATGAAATAAATTTTACTAATGATGAATCAAGAAGAGAATATACAACTGTAGATAATGAACATTCCCTCATGGCATCATGATAAATTACATTAATAGAGATTTTAAACACCTAATCGTGTAAACACACTCTTTGATAAAGGCAACCACATGCGAGCGACACATATAGTCAAACTAATCTAAAGTCAAGACACGTGTCAACCTTATGCTGGCTACTACTGAGAAGTCATCTCTCCCGTCCGCTTCCAAAGTGATCCAAGGGCTGAGCAACCACAGCCTCGGCTATAAATGAAGACCATCTATTACTAGAATAAGGGTCCAGCACCAAATACAACACGCCTCAGAGCATATAGACACATTTTGTGGCATATCCATGCTTTACTTAGGTGGTGATGCCCTTAAGGCATTAGCATGAGGTTTTTACCTCAAACTTGCTGTACGAGCTGCTTGGCTTCGGGGTATGCAAATTTCGGGACCTAGTTTAACGAGGCCCACGTTCTCCTCCTGGGATGCTCGCAAATGTATTAACATTATATGCAATAACCCCATTGGAGTTAGCTTTCCGACAAAGGTGGGGGTTAAATTGTAGCCATGATTAGACTCATGCAAGCCACTAAGTAATCAGAATGTGATGTTACTTTGCCACCCTTTCTTATTTCAAATCATCAATGTTGTTTGCTCCGTTTGGGCCATGAGTGTTGTTGGAATGCCACATTTTCCCTGCTAAATCGCACCCTGACCGTCATTCTAAAAGTAAGATAGGTTAACGCTTGCGCTTAGGACGTATCATTCCTTGCTAAGTCACCCCTACCCTCGCTCAGAAGAGTAGATTAGTCTTCACGCTGCTCCCAACCCAGCATTGACTATTGGTCAACTTTGCTAAAACGGTGATATATGTACTAACCATTTTCTCTGACCCATCGGTTCGACTCTCAGTTATTTGTTATCTAACCCCCACATAAAACCAAAAAATACCAAAAAAAAAAAAGTAACGGGTTTCGATTGGACCATAGGTTGTCGGCGTTGAGGGCCGCGAAGGACCTTTGAGAGGCTTATTTCCTACTTTCTGCAGTTGCCTTGAGGTCAAATCACATAACACATTACACTCACGCTCTTGCAGCAAAACTACGACCAAATAATTGACTTTCTCCTATTGCCCGGAGGAGGCCGAGGCCACCACCACAAGAATATTTGCTTGGACCATAACAATCACATTTTCCTCGCTTAGGGGAGGACGCTAGCAGGTGTACCCGGGGTGGTCCGCCCCCGACCAGCGGTCTTGGCATGCCCAATCATCGCCTAGTAACATACTAACCTGAATGGACAAAACATGTATGGTGTTGGATACTCTTGCCTTTCATGGTCTACTACTCCTTTCCATCGATGTTCTACCTATTTACTCATTATCATTACTCCACACAATCATCAATTTATATGAAGTTGTATCTCTTTACCTTTGGTGCCTTTTTACACCCACCCACCCATTCTCTTATGGTTCTCCTTCATTCTATTTTCTTCCTTGCATTCTCTACTCAACTCCATATCTATTTATAAAATTCACTTGGTGAACAAGTAATACAAATCCTTATTGAGCATGGGAGTTCAAGTAAAATTACTTTGGGTCCAAGTCTCACAACACATTTTCAAACCAATTCAACCCAAAATCCAATCCTATAAGAATTTGTGATTCCAACGGTGTTTAATAGCACAATAAACATTTCACGTTAAAAAGTGAAACTTAACATATTGTAAAATTTAAGTGATGGATATTTTACTTATCACTAAATATTAAATTTAAAAAAAAAAATTTAAAAACTTAATTTATAACTATGACTTATAATTTAACTTTCAAAATTTTAAGTACTTAATTTTCAAAAAAAATAAATAAATAAATAAAACTTAATTTATAACTATGACTTATAATTTAACTTTTAAAATTTCAAGTACTTAATTTTCAAATTTATCAAACCAAGTTAGTTTTAATATTATTCTTTTCCTTATGTATCTTACACGTAAGTAGAAGAACCAGAATAGCAAAAAAAAAGAAAAAAGAAAAAAAAGGGGGAGAGTAGAGGATGCAATATCTGCACTCCAATTACTTATACTTACATTTAAATAATGAATTTACCCACACTGAGGTGGAGTGTAATATATATATAGAGAGAGAGAGATAATTGTTGAGTGCATGGTGTGTTTTTAAATAAACTATTGTGTCATTTTCTTTTTTTAAGAAAAAAAAAAAAGAAAAAGTAGAGCCGTCAATGTCATTGATCAAATTTTAGTTGACACGCAAGATG